GGGAAGAAGGAACTAATTCAAAAAACTGCCGTCTGGCTCAGGCAGCTTAGCCTCCTGTTATTCCTGATACCCGTCCTATCAGAGAGTGGGCAGAGGCTTGGTACCCACAAGTCCTGACATTGGAACGTGGGCAGGTGTCCCTGGGCTGGGTGGAGAGCAGCTCTTCTTGTCCTGGACTGGCTTTCAGGGTCTGGTTCTGGTGCTGATCTAGGTGTGGTCTCATTTCCCTGGGATCTGACTCCTTTGTCATGTAAGATCCCTGCTGTCAGCCCCCTCCTCTTGGACAGCCACTAGGTGAAGTGTTAGGAAGTCCACACTGGGAGTTACAGGTGGAGGCAGGTGGAATTGTACAGTAGTCCTTCTGTGACTGGCTTGCTTAGCTTAGCACGGAAAGCACAGCACAGCGAATATAGTCAGTAATATTGTGAGAATGATGTTCGGTGCCAGTTGGGCACTGGGAATATCGAGGACAACACGATGCAAAGTATATGACTATCTAACCACTGTGCTGTCCACCTGAAACCAACACAAATCATACTGAAAGGCAACTGTGATTGGAAAATGAATATTAAAATTAAAAAATAAATACCTGCTGTCAAAGAAGGACCCGGACCTGTCATCCCAACTCCAGGTCTGACCCGGACCCCCTGAGAGCTCTAGCCCAGCGCCTGCTCCTTGCTGCTGTCCTTGACAGACTCTCACGTCCTCATCCCAACTGCTAGACGTGGGCTCTGCTGGTCTGTCAGTCTCTTCATAGAGGCTCTACCGGGGGCAGCCTGGGCTATCATCCCCCCACCACGTGCTGGGTGCTATGCATGGACATCAGCTACCTCAACCCTTAAAATTATTTGTATGTTGTCTGTGTTTATCCCCAAATTGTAAAGAAGAGAAACAAGGCTTAGAGCAATCAAGGGGCATGGCTAGTGAGGGGCAGGACCAGAGTCCAGCCCAGACCTGGGCAAACTTAAATCCAGTGTGTGTTCCACTGTCCTGCCCACACAGGCTGGGAAGATGAGCTGATAGTTTAGACCTACGCACCTTGCTTCCCGTCCCTCCTTCCCTCCACATTCCCACATTCCCATGAGAAATCACTGTGCCAGGAGCTAGACTACCCTGAGGACTGACCTCCACCAGACAGAAGCCCTGGTGCTTCTCAGAGGATCTGAGAAAGCTGTGTGGGCTGCGGGCAGCCTCACCCCCAGTCCACAGGCAATGCTCAGGCCTGAGTTACCCAGGCCGCGCGATCTCAGATAATGAAGCATGACGTGAGGTAAAAACCCGAACAGGCAAATATTTGCCAGAGGAGCTCCTTTTGAACCCTGTCCTGTGAATGGTTTGCTAACTCAGCCTGAGTATTTTGCAATTATTCATATTATCACAGAGGCTTTTCAAAGGCTCAGCTGAGTCAAGCAGTGATCTTGTGACCCCCAAACATGCAGTGTGGGGCTGCTCTGTCAGGAAGTTAAGGTGACTCCAGGGCAGGTGGGTGAGGGTGCTGTCTTTCTGTCAGGACAGGCAGCCCTCCGTGCCTTAGTTCTGGCACCCGCATTGAGAAAGGGCGAAAAGAACCAGAGCCTCACCTCAGAACATCTTCAGCACTAAGGTGACTCAAATGGACGAATTAATATTAAAAGAACCCATCTTCTATGCCCACCACTTCTTGCCTCACACGCTGTGGCTTTCCTGTGGCTGATGGAAAAGAATTTTAATCCTAAGAAGATGTGGGTTTATTATTTAGACTATCATTTGTATAAAAGGAGGAAGAAGAGAAGGAGGGGGAAAAGAAGAGAGAAGGTGGAGGAGGAGAGGGAGGGAGGAGAAGAGGGAGAGGACAGGGGAACAAGGAGAAAGGGGAAAAGGAGAAGAAGGCAGTGAGGAACGGGAGGGAGGGGAAGAAGAGGAAAACTGGCCCTTACCGCATGTTAAACACGGATTATGTTATTCAATCATTTAAATAACCTTATGATGTAGGCACTAATATTTTCCAGACTTTCAGATGAGAAACTCAGACATAAGAGAGGTTAGATAGCTTTCCCGAGGTCACACATCCAGGAGTAATGGGGCTGGAACTGGGCCCAGACAGCGTGACTGGGGCCCCACCTCCTGCCTGGAGCTTGTGCTAATGTCTGTATCTGCACAGGATGCTAGATATGGGCAATCCCCTCACCTGTGGTAATAGATTGATCCTGGGTGAATGCACAGTTTGTAATAAGTCAACAATTTTAACTTCCATGCTTCACCAAGAAAGGGAAGGCTGAGTACGTAAACCCTCAGTTGTACTCACTCAGGGATTTTTGGAAAAAGTAAAATTCCAGGGTAGTCCATGGGATTGATAACTAAGTTAGATCTTCTATACTTTCCGAATTATCAGGCCCAGCCCAAGGAATTGGGAATAATATTCAGAATCATGTGTCCAAAGCCTCACCAAATATTTTAATTATTGAGTAACTTGTAGCATCTGAACCTGAATCAGTGTTCTTGTGGATTCTGGTCCTGGTTCTGGCGATAATTGACTGGGTGACCCTGGAGGAGCCACTTAATATCTCAGGCCCTCCTCTGTAAGATGAGGGGATTATACCTCCAGATTTTGTAATAGAAGGAGGCAAAGACAATTAAGTAAATGTTGAAACTAAAAGGATGGTCATATAGCTCTTCTAATTCACCCCTGACTTGGGTGCAGTGAAGGAAAGAGACAGGTTGCTCTTGATACAGTCAGCAGAGAGACCCTTTCCAGGCTGGTTTGAGGTGAAGGGTGAACTTTTCAGGGAAAGTGATATTTCAGCTGAAATCTGAGGGATGAGGTGTTATCTGGGTGAAGGGAAGCAGAGAGCATTCCAACCAGAGGGAATAGCAAGGGTGAGGCCCAGAGGCAGGAAGGAGGTGGTCATATAATTAACCATACAAACTGGGGAATGTTAATAATCATACCAGGACCTTAGGCACAAGCCGGGACTGTGCCAGGCCAGCCAGGGTAAATGGGCACCCTAAACACAAACCACATTAAAATGTTTGGTTTCATCCTCAAAGAGATTTGGAGGCCCAGACAAACTTCTTGAATTTTTCACCTTTATAGATTTATTAGAGGCCCGGTGCACGAATTCATGCACCAGTGGGGTCCCTCAGCCTGGCCTGCGGGATAAGGCTGAAACTGGCTCTCTGACATCCCCCAAGGGATCCCAGGTTTCAAGAGGGTACAGGCCAGGTGGAGAGACCTCACCAGTGCATGATCAGGGATAGGGAGGGACTCATGAGGTTGGCCAGCTGGGAAGGGGCCATGGGAGGGCTCCAGGGCATGTCCGGCCCATCTTGCTCAATCCCGATCAGCCGGACCCCAGCAGCCAGTTAACCTACCAGTCAGAACATCTACCCCCTGGTGGTCAGTGCACGTCATAGCGAGTGGTTGAGTGGCCTTATTATATCATTAACATATTACACTTTGATTGGTTGAACAGACGATTGGACACTTAGCATATTAGGCTTTTATTATATAGGATACATTTCTTCTTTTATTCTTTTTGACATTATTTACATGCAGAATGGTGTACAAATGTTAACTTCATAGTTTGATGAATGCCAACTCAGGCAACCATCACCTGGATCATAATATAAAACATTTCCTGTTCTACAGAGGTTCCCTCCTGCCCTCCCAGCCATTCCCTCCCCACCCCCAGAGGTAGCCACTTTCCTGACCTCAACTGCAAGTCATCTAAATGGGGTCATTCAGGAGACACATTGCAGGACTCTAATGATAGGGGTGGGTGATGCAATCCACCCAGTTTGCTTGTGGTGCATTTGGGAACATGGTGCTGACAGCAGTGTGAGAAAGGAATAGGAGGGGCTGGCCTGTGACTGAGAGACAACTTGGGGGCTCCTTAGTCATCAGAATAGAAGTGACAGGGGTCTGAATGGGGAGAGGTATGAAGAGGATGGAGAATAGTGGCAGATGAAAGTGAAGTAACTCAGACATGTTGACTGTGTGGGGGATGGAAGAACCAAGTCTGAGTCATGGCTGGAATCTTGGCCCCTGAGGAATTGGTTGTGGTGGGGATGGGGGGAGGCAAGGGAAACATGCATTGAGCCAGGACACCTGGAGAAAGGCTTTCAGAGGAAGATGATGAGTGTGATTTGGGGCGTGGAGCTTGTAGAGTTTGAGATGTTTGAAGCTGCCAAGTGGAGGGGCTGCACAGGTGGCTGGAAATGTGGGTCTGAAGTGCCAAGAGGCGGGTCAAGCAAGGGGACATGTTGATAAGCCTTGGTAAATAGATGAACTGTGGGTGTGGGGAAATTGCCTGGGAGAAGGAAGCCCGGAAGAGAGCAGACAGGAATCCAATGTGTACTGAGGGTAGAGGAAGGTGGCCCAAAAAAGAGCCTCTGGGGCCCCAGAGACCTGGGAGCGCCACCAGGAGAACATGACACTGCAGAGTCAGGAGGAGAGAGTGTTCCCCAGAGGGCAGCATGGCCTTACAGAGGCTGTATGTCTTCCTTAGCAGCTGTGAGTTCAAATGCTTCTTTCCTACACCCTTTCCCCTGGGTAGTGAGAAACTGTGAATCACACTATTTGAGAAGGTCTGAAAAATGCTAAAAGAACCCCCAAGGTCTAAACCTACTCCTTTAGGGATAATGTTGAAACTCATCACTCCCAGCCTAGAGGGCTGGAGTGCAACAGTTTTTCCTGCAGACTCAGTCAAGGTCTCCAGAGTTGGAAATAGAAATTCCTTTTAGCCAAAGACTTTAGAGAACCCAGGTCCCAGCTCTCCCCTTCACTTCTAGTATCCCTGTGGTCATCCTGAGTGAGGTCACTTTCTATCTTTGTTTCTGGAAAAATTGAATAAATAGAACAAAAACAGACAAAAAACCCTGTGAGATCATATGATAATAGTAACAACTGTTCATTAACCTTCTGTTTGTGCCTAAGTACTTTACATATATACTAGAGGCCTGTTGCATGAAGGGATTCGTGCAATAGGCCTCCCCTTCCCCTGTCTGCCAGCACCAGTTTTCCTCCGGCACCCGGGACCCAGGCCTTTGCTCCTCCAGCGGGAGCCTTCAGTCTTCACTGCTCCAGCTGGAGCCTTCAATCTTCACCCCACCGCTTCGCGCCTACATATGCAAATTAACTGCCATCTTTGTTGGGTTAATTTGCATACTCTCCTGATTGGCTGGTGAGTGTAGCAGAGGGATGGTCAATTTACATATTTGTCTATTATTAGGTAAGATTTACTATCACAATAGCCTTGCGAATTAGAATTTCCCACTTCTCAGCTTTACAAATTGA